CGTTACAATACATAACGTAACTTTAAAACGTTATTGGGGTAAGTACCATAAATTGCTAGAGTACGATGAGTTGCTAACTTTTAAAGGAACTTTTTTTATTTTTTTTGTTACGTTATTTTTAAAATTTTTAAAGTTGTATTTAACAACAAAATGTCTCTTAAAACCCAATAGCATGCGTTTGTTTTAAAAAAAAGCTTTTTAATTACAATAGTTTTGACAAATGTTTAATGCGTTTTTTGTTGTTTTTGTTGTTGTTGTTGTTGTTGTTGTTGTTGTTGTTGTTGTTGTTGTTGTTGTTGTTGTTTTTGTTGTTGTTGTTGTTCTTTGCTAGATTTTAAAACATTACTTTATTATTTCATATAATTTACGAGCTAAATTAAAGTGATATAAACAATTACAAGTGCAGTTGTTTAATATTTTTTGAAGTTATAAGTTCATGATTTCAAATAGTATAGTAATGTTGATGTGAGATAAGTTTGTGTCGTTAGAAAACATTATTGTCCTTAGGTTGGATGCTTTATGGAGATCATTGACATATATATAAAAAAGAAGAGGTTTGAGTATAGAACCTTGTTGCACGCCACAACTATGTTTAGTATCGTTTTTGGTGATATATTGTCAATGTGTATATATTGAGCACGATTATTTAAATAACTCTTTATCTATTTTAAAACAACTTGCGAGTCCATAAAATTCAAGCTTTTTAATAAGAATTTAATTGTCAATAGTATCAAAAGCTTTTGATAAATATAAAAGTTCCTAATGCATATTCAGATTTATTAAACGACTTGTTAACTGTGTGTAAACTGAAGTACTGCATGTACGGTGGAATTATTTTTTTTAAAACCATATTGGTTATTAAATAAAATATTATTTACAGAAGGATGAGTAATGATATTGTTAAATATGATTTTCTCTAAAAGTTTTGAAAATACAGGAAGAACAAAGACAGTGTGATACTTATTTACATTAGTTGCATTGCCTTTGAATATTAGTGTTACATAGGCAATTTTAAGTTAATCAGAGCAATCTCTTCACCTAACGCTAGGCAAAAAGAACCTAAATAAATAGAATATTTATTATAAAATTGTACGAATTTACATCAACGCTTTCGTTAAAGCTGTCCAATCCTATTGCTTAATTTGCTTTAGTCGTTTTAAATGCAATCTCAAGTTCCTTAAAGGATATTTCAATTCGATTAAGATTTGTTGTTTTTTGAGGTAAAAATTCAAAAGTATTACTAGTATATGGAACATTTTTTGCTAAAATAGGTGCACTAAAATAAAATGTCTATTTAATTTAACTACAACATTGCTTGAAGTATATAAAATTTTATCATTAAAGGCGCATGATTTAGTAAAATGTTTTAAGAAAATTGTTCTAAGATTAGTTTGTGTCCTGAGAATGAATAATATTTTGCCGATGAAGCATTGATAATTGTTCATTAAATGATGCTAAATTTGCATGATGCTAAATTTGCATGATGCTAAATTTGCATGATGCTAATTTTTCACGAAAAAAAAAGTTTTAATGCCCTTTATCCCTTAATTTTTTTTTTAGCTTATAAAAGTGAAACTTTTAAAAAATGTAAACTGAGACGTAACTTAACATTAAAAAAATCTATATTTGAGATGTATTTAGCTACGTCTCATATCTAGATTTTCTTACGTTACATTATCTTTTTTTTCAATAATACAAGTTTAATACTTAACGTGTTTTTATAAACCCCCAAGCAAATATGTTTATAAGACCTTTTTTATGTTTTAGTATTATATATTTAAAACATTAATTATAACCAATTAAAATGATAGTTTGCATATTCTGACATCCAGTGCAACATTTGTTTGCTTTCTATAATTTATTTTCTGAGTTGACTTCTTTCATTTACAATGTCGTACCTTTCTCTCTCTCTCTCTCTCTCTCTCTCTCTCTCTCTATATATATATATATATATATATATATATATATATATATATATATATATATATATATATATATATATATATATATATATATATATATATATATATATATATATATATATATTTATATATATATATATATTTATATATATATATAAACAAATGCTTAATCTTATCAGTATGGAACATTTATGCAACGTTGGAAAAAAATAAAATTATTTCTTATAGCAAGACTCCAATTTTCCATCATTGTTAGAAATGGAGTCAGTATAAGAATGAGCTGAATAAAATTAAACGTTGAATGAACAAACAAAATTTTGACAGCCATAGGACGTCCAATAGCGTCTATTGTGGACCTCCAAACGGGCTATTTTGGAATCTTTAGACGCACCTTAGAGTTTCAAAATGGAAAGACGAAAGTCATTTAGTTCATCCAATGGGCGTCTGAGGACTTTTATTTTGGACGAACTATAGATGTCTGTGTGCCTATTTGGTTGCAAGTAATTAAGATTGTTGAAGATGATATTACCTCCTTTAATATGACAGCAGCAAAAGCCAAAAACAATAAGTTTCAAAACCTAAAATAAAAAAATAAAAATAAAGTTAAACAGTCTTGGACATCATTTCTAAGCAGTTTTTTAAAACTGAAAAAAAACAAAAACCGCACTTAAAAAAACTTTTTAATTAGCCTATTGCCTTTATTTATGTTATTTTAGCAATACTTTTTAATAATGCTTCCAGAAACCCTGTTTTTAAGAAAAACTGATTTTTAAATTTTTTCAACGATTTACACTTTTTATCCGTTTATATAGGTCATCCTAATGAAAGAGTGGTTTAAAAATATCTGAAATAAAAATAAACTTTTTCTAAAAACTAGCAGTGACATTAAATAGCCTTCAAATATTAGTTTCAGGCACTGTGTATTGGTGTATATGCAAACTCGATACTAGTAAATCATACAAAAAATTTAAATAATTTTTTATTACATATGTTTTCAGTGGCGTAGAAACGTTCTCGGGGTCCCCAAGACAAAAATGTTTACGGGATTATAAATTTTTTTAGTAAAATTTTTAGTTTAAAATATTTATTATACCTTGTAAACATAAAGAACTTTTCATTTGGCAAATTTATTTACACTTGATTTTTTATTTGCTAAACCTCTAAATACTTTTTCTTGTTATAAAAGTGTAGCTTCCTTATTTTCTAATTCTAAATCAACCAATCCAAAAAATTGATCTTGAGAATTCCTTTACCATACGTAGGTTTTGATGTTCAGTGTTCACATGATGCAAGGATCTATTCTAACGTTTAGATGATCCAACAATCTCTCAAAGTGTTACAAAAAGAACACATGCAGTTGCTAATTCCGGAGCTGAAGCAATTAGTTTCACTTTTAGAAATGTTCACATTTCTATTTTGCAAAATATCCTGAACGGCATTCATTTTACACACGTTCTCATAAAATTCTTCCTGGTATTAGCAAGTTTCTTGTACAAGATCACAATTTACATCATTAGGGTATAATTTTACAAATTTATCGCAACAAATTCCATTTCAGAACGAAAAAAACTCTAGAGATGATGAAGATGCGAAAATTTAAAAAAATCAGTAAAGGCTTAAGACCCTGAAAGCGTGGCTGCAGTTGATATATTGCAACGTCAATAATCACAAAAAAAGTTCGCTGTCTTAACTCTTATAATCTTGTTGTAAGTTATTTGAGAAAATATTCTTTCACAAAAAACAATGAATAAAATGAATTTAAACATTCCAATAGCATTTCGAAGACCAATGACCTTGTCCCTCCCTGTCTTTTAGACTTTCAAGGTAAATTCATGTAAGTATATTAAGCATGTCAACAAGACCACTTTGTTGGACAAAGTTTTATTAACCTTAGTCCAATTAAATGTTGTAATGAAAAACCAGCTCTAACCACCTTTTAAACTGGATCCAAAAAAATTGAAAACCAATAAGTCATATTGTTCAAAGTAAAACTATGGCTAGAAAGGCTAGTAAATTGACTTTAACAGCATCATTAATAACCAAGTTTAGATTACAAAAGGAGCAATGTATATATGGCGCAGGTGCGGTAGTTATGAAATTTATAAATGGTTTTTGAACTACGCCTTTCTTTTCACTGATTACACTAACGGCTTTATATCTCTTGCCTCGCATCTTTTCTAAGTTTAAATTTTGCATAATTAGCCAATTATTAATTTGTTCTGAAAATCCTTTTGCAGTTGCATCTGTAAAATTAAAAAATCTGAGAAAATATTCATTTATGTCGCAATTTTCTGAGTTTAAATGTACCCAACGTTTTACTGTGGAAATATGATAGCATAAAATGGACATTTTTTTATTTTTGTGATTCAATAAAACTTTACTGCTTTAGAAACTTCGGAAATAATTTCAATTTGAATTTCAAGGTTATGATACTTTGTGAATTGAGATGATAAAGGTGAGAAATTTTGTAAAACTTATCTTGCATAGAAAGTCCAAAAAATCTCCTCCTTCACCTTTACCTGCTGTTAATGTTCAGAGGTGTACACAAAAAAAATCCATTTGGCATAGACAATGTACGGATATGTACGGTATTGATGCTTGACTTTTCATGCTTACTAATTTATTATTAAGATGATGAGATGATACAGAGGTACAGTTAATCCAGTCTCAATTTAAGTTTCAAATCACATAGATAAGCAAACAACCAGCAAGCAATGTCAACGTGTTTACATGTTGCTTCATATAATGAATTTTTAATTATAGTATTAGTTACTTGGTATTTGTACAAGTATGATTTTATAAATATTTTTCCGTTACAATAGGTTTCAAGTTTAAAGTTTTATGTTTTCATACACTAACTTAATTAATAAATTTTTTAAATTTTGAATCAAATTCTTATTTAAAATTTAAACAGTTTTATTTTAAAACAAGCAATTTGGCATAAAATCGTCAAGAATAAGCAAGTTGGCATAAAGTTGTCAAGAATAAGCAACTTGACATAAAGTTGTCACGTGCGGACGTGGTGCAGTGGTTACAGCGCTTGCTTTATAAGCAGGAGATTTAGGTTTGAAAAGAGCTATGGATTTATTTATTTCCATACCGCGTCATGGTAAAGAAGGAAGTTTGAACTTCCTGGTGAATTGCACTTCCGCGATGGTCTGTGACAAGGTCTTTGGGGCACCTAAATAACAAAAAAAAAAAAATTCTAGTGCAATCCAAAGAAATCAATTTCTCAATCTTTGGTTTTGTTTACTTATTAAATCTCCTACATAAGTGTTTTGTTAGGTCAAGTAAAGTTTTCCCACTAAAATATCTAGGTTCCCCTTAAAAATAAGCCTTGATACTTACCATCGTATGCAGGTTTTATAAGTACCCCTACAACATGTGGAAGGCATCCCAATATCATAAATGCTACGTTTTTAACTACTAAGTCAACTTATTTACATTTTTCACTATTTCTCAAATTTTCGTGTTCTTTTAAATCTGTCATCTACTCTTGTAAAGTAAACTTGCTAATCAGTACTTTGAAAAGTAGTAGTAATCGTGAGTATTATCCTCTTCGCATTTTTTCAGCTGAAAGAGTGTTTTGAGGCGTAGAGCAAGGCTTTGCTCCTTTGGTGATAAAATTCTGAGACCCCTGTTTTTGACGGGTAGGAAAAGTGTCTCTCTTTTGACCGGATTGAAATTGGTCTTTTGCCACAGATTTTCGAAAATGTTCCACTCTATGTTGTCCAATTTTGGGTACATTTTAGGATCAAAACTCCCAAAAACAAGACCCTTGGTTTTTGAGGCATTGATCACTGAACCACTTGCTTTTTCAAAAAAATTTACTTTTTCAAAGAAATAGAGGACAGATTTTACGTCCTTGGCAAAAAAGTTCTAACCGTCTGCGCATTGCTGTAATTTAAGGGGTTTCGATGTTCCTGGGAGTACTATCCGCTCTGAACACCAAAGCGAGAGCTTCGGCAACAAAGACTTACAGCAGAAGAGAGAGTGGGTCGCCATACAAGGTACATTACAAAGCTTTTAATGCAAAACCTTAGCCGATATAACTAATTAGTTAAATTATAAATTAAAAAACACAATCCTATAGATTATGGGTACGATTTTTATTTTTACCCGAAAGAACATATGTATTTATATTTAATTGAACTGTATTCGCGGTTCCGTAATCGGGGTTATCCAGTATTTTTTAAGAAAATAATCCGTAATCGGGATTATCCAGTATTTTTTAAGAAAATACCAAGATCTCCGTTTTTTTTTAATTTTTAACGTCTAAATAAATTAAAAACTTGTATATATATATATATTTTTTGAAATAAGCATAAATATTGTTATAAATATATCTAAGGGTACTTTGTCAGAAAAAAGATACTTGTTTTCATTCTTTTATGTAATAGACACAAACAAACACTGTTTAACGAATTCAATATCTTAAATGTATATAAACTAAACCTCTATCATGTTCTTATTTTCATGTTCAAACTAGATAAAAATATATTACCAATCTTTTTTTTTACAGTTTTTGAAAAAACAATTCACATATACCCGACTAGATTTTTAAAATACAACTACATTCAATCCAAACATTACTATTTTGCTACTAAGTTCTCTATTGTAAACCGAGGGCCAAAGTTGGGGAACATAGATTAAATAATAAACTGAGAACTAATTATTCTCTAAACCAATTCAAAACAAAACTTAAGCAATTACTTTCGTTAAATGAAATAGAACTAAGTTTTTTCAAAAAAAGCTTTTTAAATTATAAATCAATAATAAGAGTTAATAAATTACTGTATATTACTAATACATAATTATTCAACATAAGTACATATACTTTATTAAATTAAATGATAATCTTCTTTTTGAGAAACTTATTTTCATTTTTGCGTTGCTTATTAATCCTTTTATTTTACTTTTTACTGTTTATTTGCTTTTACTGAATGGTTATAGAAAGTATTATAAACTTTAAAAAATAAATTAAACTATAAAATGCTCTAACAATAAGACATGTTTTATATAAAATCATATCTTTTGATTTTTTTAACTAATTCTTAAATGTTATTTTATTCATTTTAATACTTTATTTAGCTTTGTTTGTTTTATTTACAAGGCTATTCTTAAATTTTATTAAAGAACTTTTTTTGGACGCTTGGCGATATATTTACATTTTCTTTTCTATTATTAATTTAAAGATATATGCAGTGAAACTTTCAATCAGTGCCAGATCAAGGGGGGCTAGGGAGGACTATAGCCCCGGGCCCCGCAAATTTAGGAGCTCCCAGAAATTTTAAAGGACTTTTTTTTTTTTTTTTTTTTTAAAGTCATTTTAGGGTCTGGCCCATAAAATGGCCTCCTAAAACAAAGTAGCCTCGGGCACCAAGAAGTCTTATTCCGCCACTGCTTTCAATCAAGCATCAATTAGGCACCAAGAAGCTACAAGCACCAATGAGGTACCAAATGATGCAAAATAAAATACACAATATTGTTTTTCAAAATATAACTTTTGTCTAAAAATTATATTTAAAAAGTTATTGCGAAAAAAAAAAATTTTTTTTTTTTTTTTTTTATTGAAATA